AGCCTTTATGTTTAGATATAGCTGCTTAAACCACTGACCTGGAAAACGGTGAGTCCAGCCATCCCAAACGTTTAGACCGCGACCTGTGGTACCTTCGATCTGAAATGAAAAAAAAAAACAACCATGCAACGTTGGATTTTAGTGGTTCTGAGCGAATGGTTTTATACGTCAAAATCAATGTGCGATTTGTTACATGCCTGGTAAGCAGAAGATGCTGTTCCGAAGATGAAGTCTTTATCGAAATGGCTTCTGTTGAAACGATCAGTTTGGTTACATGTGAATGGATGATCCTCTTCGCAAGTAATCTCTTCAGGTTTGCAAGTCGCTACAGCTAACAGAAAAACTAAGGTGGTTCCAAGAAGCCTCATTGTTAATCTGTAGATGTATGTTGCTTTGTGTTGCATGGAAACCTCGAGCCAATCTAGGGTTTATATAGCCTTTGTAAAGTAAGGGACGTATGCATTTTCTTGTCTTAGTGTTTTGATATTTTGGGAGGTTTAGGTGAGATGAATCCCGTGGTTCAGTATTCATCACACCGATTTTGGTTAAATTTATTGCTTTGTTTCCACTTTTCAGAGTGGATTGCTCTTTTATCGATCATTTCACTGAGAAAAATGGTGCATTCTCTATCTCAATAATTGTGAATGGTTGATAACTATCATTTTTGAAGTTAATTTGGTAAATAATAATGAGAAGTTTTTTTTAATAAGAGGGCAAATTCATTTGTTGCAATTTAGCAAATAATTAAGAAAAAATATCTTATTGAACATAATTTTAACTATTTATTCATTTGATTTTTTTCGTAAATAGATATTCCAATATAAAGATATCACGAAATTTATTCGACAGAAAAGAAAACATGTATGAAAAAAAATCAAGAAATTTTCAGCTGATAGAAGACAAAGATAAAACTGATCAAAATGTGTTTTACCTCATTTTAGAAAGAAAAACAAATCCTATCAGTCATCTTTTTAATTATCAACTTTTCTATTGTTATCCAGTAATGTAAATACTAGAATTTATATATATACATGTGTGTGTTCCTTATTATCCGGAAACAGGACTAGGAGCACAAACTGGTCACATCTTTAATTGATCGATCAAAGAGTAATGCAATGCAGCATGTTTCGAAGATTTGCACAAAACTAGAAAGACATGCACCAAGATTCCTTTTAGTAGATGATGTTCAAAGCCTCTTAAGTTGGACCTGGAGTTAGAATTGACTCCATAAAGTTATTGAAAAATTTAACAGAAATATTATCAAATGGTCAATCCTAGAGTAAAAAAAATGCAGTGGTTAAGAAAAAAAAAACAATTAGATAAGATAGATCAAAGGCCACACTTATTACGAGTCTCACCGCTCACAGTCACCGCACATCTTTGATTGATTATGGTCGCTCGCAATGCTTTATCACATGAAACCAGAGACTTTCTCTCAGAAGACAAACCAACTTTTTTGCTTTTTTAATTGTTATTAAATAATGTTAGAGGTGCTTTTGTTTTTTTTTTGGCCATTTTGGAGGTGCTATCTCATCTGCAAAACACTATCCTTTTCGTAACCATTAAATTGTTTTTTCTTTCTTTGGCTATTTACATTTTAAATGGGTACATAGGTTGACAAATCAATTTTTATATATATATATTTTTTTAATATTTAAAAGTGTACGACAAAACATATGATTTTGAGTATCTATAAACGTACAAAAATAATATGTATTGTGCATAAATATAATAAAGTTGATTATTTTGATCAAGCATGTTAATGTCATTAGTTTAAATATTTTCTGTGTAAAATTGATCAAAACCTATGTAAATATTATTTTCAGTATATTTAAAGTATAAAATTTATTTTCATTATGCGCATAAATTATATAGCATACGATAAATCATAACTTTTAGTTTTATATAAATTTGCCGGACATAACAAATAAATTTTATTTTATGTTTTCCAATAATGAAATGTATAAATATTTGTATAGTATACTAATCTAAATACATATATACACAATATACATTTTTATAATTCTATAAATATAATTATAAAAAATTTGTTAATATATCATAAAAATAGATGTTATGGTAAGACTAAAATATTATATTTAGTTGGGTTTAAATTTTTGAAACATATATTAATGAGTTTATGCTGAAAATTAATAAGAATATGTAGAGAATTTCCATCATGAGATATACTTTTAATTGAAATTTTGATTTGTTAAATTAAATGATATGTCTCTTAAATTTTTCATTGGTTGATACATAATTTTTTATCTCCTCAATTAATATATAGAGGATACCTGTTAAACGACCAATAATTAATACGCCGGATTAAAACACAAGTTTTTTCAACACAGAAAAAACTACTGAGAAATCTAGACTTCCAATTTACTAAGTAATCTTGTATCTATAAGATTACTGACAAAAACATCATAACTAGTCTGAATCTAAGGGTAAAGCCTTGGCAGGATTCATAATTATCCCCAAGAGACCATGTAAAGTAGCCTTTCACGTAACAACCTGACTTCCTTTACAAGTTACAACTAGCTAAGTGACCCTATATTAATGTATGTTAAGTCGAGAGTGAAATTTACAAGCACTTAAATGGAATTAGATCGTATTAAACTGAACTACATGATTTGTTTGTGTTTAAAAAAAAACATCATCTATATTTATAGAAATAACAAATTATTTTTTTTGTTCTTCTGACATAAATAATTTATAGTCCCTTTATACTTTCCGTTGTAAGTCAACATTCACACTACAAAGTTATACATAATTTTTCGAAGATGGGCGCGCGCTTGGTTTGGCAGTATGAGCATGCTTCGAGGGTTCATCATAATGTAGCACAACTTGGTTGTTCCTTGTTATGCAAGAAAAGACATATCACTGTAATATCATCAATCTTCGTAGATTTAAGCTTCTTCTTCCATGTAGCTTCGGCCGCCTCCGCCACCAATTTAGCGGCCGTAGCTTCCTTTTTTCCGGAACTCCATATTAGCGATACAACTTCATCATTGGTAAGCATATCCCAAACCTTCGATGACATATTAAATACCAATTAGGATTCTCATGAAACTTTTTGAAGTGACAAAATTTCAAAATTTGATCCATATTTGCTTTTACCCCGTCCGTTGCGAGTACAATGAACTGGTCTTTAGAAGTTATTCGGTGGTGAGAGACCTCTGGAACGGCAATAACACCGTGGTCTTTGAGCCTGAAATCTCCAAAAGCTCTTGACATTGCTAATCCTGGTATGTCATGGTGTGGTAGCCATACCCTTTGGCTGCACGGTTCTGTTTTCATTGCGAGAACACGACCTTTGCACATCCTGATCCTCTCTGCTTCACCTGAGACACTAGAACTCGCTCGATAAGTATCATAAAACCTCTAATGATACAATCCTTCCGTAGCCATGAGGAGAGTGAAAAAAGCATACTAGGAACAGCAGGTGTTAGATCTGACGTTAACTGAACTGCGCTGATCTCACCATCTTCGGTCATTGTCCCCAATACCGCTCTTGAATCACCGAGGTTCGCTATGATGAGATCATCTCCCTATAGCAATCAAGTAAAACATCACCAAAATCGCTATCTATTCACCATTCATAAGTTTTGGTCCATAGTGGTGCATTGAAAGATAAAACAAGACATACTAGTCCTAGTCCGGTCCGCTTACTAGAAACTGGGCGGTCTAGTCCTGCTGCCACCATTCCAAACCTAAATGTTATCGGGAAAATTAACAGAGAAAGAAATGTACCTGAGTAACGGCAACAACAGCAGTGGAGCCACTGAAAGAGCAATTAAATACTTGAAGAAGAAGCTCTCTGTCAATGAGTCTAAAGGCAGCAAGACAAGCTTGCTCCCACTTATGAGCTTCGTCTTCTTCACCAACATGAGATTCTTGGTTTAGCTCCTTCTTGAGTGTTGACATAAGCGATGGCAGCCTATTCCTCACCGTTTTGCTCACCATGTGTCCATTTTTGCCGTGCCCATCAAACACTCCACATAACTCTGCATCCCCTGTTCCATATCTCTACGGGAATAAAGCAATTTAATCACATTTCTACTCATCTCTTAAAATATTACTTTTTAGATATTCAACATATGGAAAAAGGGTTTAACATCGGCTTCGATTGGTTGTTTGTTTACGTTTGAACTTTGAATGATTAGCTTCCTAAACATAAATCATTTGTTGAAACAAAGTTATTTAATTTATAAGAAAGGAAAACTGTTTTATTTTTATTTTTATTTTTAAGATCTCGCTAATTGGTTATGAAATGGAATTGTCTCAACCAAACGAATATCTCATCCAAAAATAAGATTTTATTCAAGATGAATGAAAATTAATAATTACAATATATATAACTTTGTGATGCGATTGTCCTATCCAAATTGGTAAGTCATCTACTCCAAAACGTTATTGATCAACTAATAAGATCATGAATAGTGGTGTTTAATCAGAAAACAAAAAAAAAACAAGAAAGATAGCAAAATATCAAGATGACCAATACCAGGTAAAGAATAGCATTATCTTGGTTAATCATTTTGCTTCCTTGTATAGAGCAAACCGAACCGAGGCGGTGAACCGGAAGGTCGTGATCTAAACCGAACTCTTCTCCATAACAAACCACCGCATTACCATCACCGTACTCATTCTCCTCGTGAATCTCCGATGATGAAGACGGCAATGAAAAGCAATGACCCATAAATCTCTCTTAGTTTCTCCGAACAGATTCTTACCAAATTGCACAAAACAAATAAATGACTTGGAAGAAGATAATTTATTAAGAAACAAAACATTTTTTGTTGATCGGATCGCAGATCATATGTTGAATATGAAAAGTCTTTCTTGAAGCTGGAGCTTAGCAATTGCATAAGTATATTATATATTTACAATTTAATATAATTGAGTTTCCATAGATAATTAACAATATTACTGTTTACGTGGCATCAACCTGAGTTCCAAATGTCAAATGAAATCAAT